AGGGAGAAGCAGGCTTCCCGCAGAGCAGGGAGCCCGATGCGGGGCTCGATCCCAGGACCCTGGGATCATGACCTGAGCAGAAGGCAGACGCTTAATGACTGAGCCACCCAAGCGCCCCAACGTGTTCTAATTGTTATTAATACAGTGATGTTGGTAATGTCACAGAATCAGAAGATGTGCAAGATAGTCCCTACCCCTTAGGGACTGCCTTCTCAGTGGAATATTCTGCTTTTCCTCTGATAAATCGTTTAGAGAACACATAGCATTTGTTTCAAATGCCTGGTAGGTAGTCCTGTTAAGTATTACACGAGAGTAGAGCCCAAGGTTCTGCTTACATTCTTTTTCCTCTGAGAGTTTTTGGACTGAAAGGTTTTGGGGAAGAATCGAAAAATCAGAATGTAGCAGATTATTTCCTTGATGATGGGCTCTCATCTGATTCATTTGTGCATCCCGCCCACCCATGCTGTGCTGTAAAAAAGCTTGCACTTACAAATAAAACCAAGGGAACTCATAGCACCAACTTTGATATGGATGGGCCTGGATTTCTGGTGACACCTACCAGCTGTGTGACACTGGGTATTTCTGAAATGGACAGTGAGAAGTTCGTTAGGTTCTATTGATATAACAGGAGGAAATATACATGAAGTTGCTTAGCACAGTGCCTAGGCATAGAACACACTCAAAAAGTGTTAATGAACATTTATTATTATTATTATTATTATTTAGAGAGGTTAGTGTCTTGGAAAAGAGGGAAGAAGACCGTATAAAGGGGCACATGGGGAGAAACTGGGCCCAGAGGCAGCTCAGAACGGTAGGACCTCCTATTCCTGCCAGAGCTGGCCCCACAGGGAGTAGGCTGGATGCTGAAGAAGGGCACATACATCCCTCCACCAAAAACAAAGCTTCCTTTCCTCAGGAAATTTGCTGGAAAATTGTTGAAATAAATATAGAAATCCATGATAACTACGGAAGTGAATGATGATCCCTAAAGTTGTACAATGCCCAACGTGCAGAACTGTACAGGGCAGCCCTGAACTGGACCCACCAGATGGCTCTATCCTGGTTTCAGTCTCTTACGTTGCTGCCATTTATTTTAGGTTTCCTGGTGGGCCCCTTTAAATTCTTTCTAGCTCAAGGCAGGGTACACATATAAAGACATTATAAAACCTATAGAAGAAGTTTGAAACACAAGCCATACCAAAAGGCAAAGAATTGGAACTGAAGGAAAGACTGGTTAGTCCCACCTTCTCTCTCACTTCTCGTCCACTATGTCTTCCTGTGAGAGCACAAAGTGTCTGTATATCAAGACATACTGCAGATGAGCGTGGTCCCAAATGGGGCTAAATGCCTTGTAACTATCAATCAGGAGTAAATTAGCTCCTTCTTCGTGCAGGGGGCTAGCTAACATCTGAAACTCATTACCCCTAGAGGTTGGTTTGGTTTGCAGATACAAGCATGTTTAAGAAAGGCTGGTTTCAGGCAGGCTGCGTACTAGCAGTTAAAGTTACAACCCAGAGTCAGGCCCAGAAGGTGACGCCACCAGGTTCTGCTAAGTGTTCTATTCCCTTATGACTCCTACTTTTTTCCTGCCGGCCCTCTACTGCTTGGCCGGACTTGGACCCTACATCCTGGGCTTCTGCCTGCCCCACCTGAAGGCCGCCTCACCAGGACAGGGACAGGACCATGGCTGGTGGCTGACTGTGGGGTGCAGCAAGTCCTGGGGGCAAACGGAGCAGGCTTTGCCATGTGACATCGGGAGACAGTTCACAGGTTGGGGGGGGGGTCCTGCAGCTGTGGGTAGGCTGGGGCAGGTGGTGGGAGCAGCTGAGAGTTCCTGCAGGAGGTAATGGCCTCGGGCCCTATTAGGAGGGAATCTGTAGCCACGCGGAGCCGGAGACTAGAAAACAGGCCTTCCAGGGTGGACATCGGCACAGAGGAATCGAGAAAGGTTCCCAGGGTCTCAGAAGGGCCACTGTCCTGGGGCCCCAGGTTAGAGCAAATCAAGATCCGGCCCTGCTGCACCCCACAGGTCATGCAGTAAAGACTTGGGCAGGGAGGACAGATTTCAGAACCTGCCAATTAGGGCAGGGCTGGGAAGCCAGGGCTTAATTCCAGAAACAAGGCCAAGCAGAGGTACTGAAATGTAGCACATGACCGGAGGACTGGGTAATGTGCTCAGTAGGTTTTGGACAACTTTGCTTTAGACACCTCCCAACCAATCCCTGAGACAGATAAGGCAGAGGTGGTCCCCCCGGGGGTGGGGGGTGGTCACAGGCGATGAGCCTGAGCTGCAGGTATCTTTCTCCATGCTCCTCTGCCCCAGCCCACTCCCTTCTCTGACCCGATTTGGGGCCCCAGCAGGGGAGCTCTGACCCGCTCCTCACTCCTCTCTCTGCTGGACTAATGAGTCTTTTTTTTTTTTTAAGATTTTACTGATTTATCAGAGAGAGAGAGAGAGCACAAGCAGGGGGAGTGGAAGGCAGAGGGAGAAGCTGGCTCCCTGCTGAGCAAGGAGCCCGATGCGGGGCTCGACCCCAGGACTCTGGGATCATGACCTGAGCCAAAGGCAGATGCCCAACGACTGAGCCCCCCAGGCGCCCTGGACTAATGATTCTGGACACTGACTCTCGCTCAGCTCATCAGAGAGCTCAGGAGAAACATGCCAGGTCCCTTCCCTTGACAGTTGAGGTGAATCCACGTGCTGTGATGTGTCATTGAAGAGAAGCTGGGCATTTCTGGGAGCTTTTGTCTCCCCTGTTCCTATGAGTGTTACAGCATTCTCTTAGGTTGTCTCCCGCTGTTGCTCCCAGTTTTCACATCGTTAGTGACAGAGAAGATGGATTCTCCCAACGTCTTTCTCTTTTCATTTCCTCTGCCCCCCACGCCAAGCCCCACTCCCTCCATACCCCCTTACCCCAACCCGGGAACTGAACTCAGAACTCAGTCCCTTCCCTGCATCCTTCAGCATCACTTTGTCTTTCACGTACCATGTGCCATGTACATGCACTCTGTCCATTTTGAAATCGTGGGTTTGAACTTCTCTTACCTCCTCCACAATTTAGCACTTTGTTCTCTCAGTCATTGTTTCCCTAATAATTTGTTGGGGTTTCCCAGGGCCTTGCGGGCCTTACATAATCGCTTCTACCGCAGACTCTGGGACCAGAATATATTTGCTAAATCAAGTTCCCCACTTCCATTCACTTGCTTCCCAGGTAAGAACTTTATGCCTCCAACAAATACTTTTCTTCTTGTTTGAAGACCTCTTTTTACAGATTTTCGAATGCCTTAAGTCTTTTAAACCTCTGCACCTTATATAATTAAGGCTTTAAAGAGCTTATCTTCTCAACAAAACTTTGGCTTGAGCATGGCTAAAACAGTTACAGAATCAACTGGAAAGGGAAAAAAAAAATCTTGATCTAACACTAAAGCCTTTCCATTCTGCAAGGTGAAATCCTTTGACCTAGATCTGTCCCTTAAAAGGCAAGTGACTGTAAGAAATTCTAAGATTTTCTTAGACTTTTAAGAGCATTGGTAAATATTGATATAAAAAGTCAGGTTCATTAGCCACTTTTATTTGATTTTCCTGAAAACCTGCCAGACAGAAAGTTCTCATTTTTATCCACCTTCATTGTTACCCCCAGAGCAGCTCTCTCCATGGCAACTGAAAACTTCTCTGGGTTGAAATAATCCTCTCCAGCTTCCAGTGCACAGTCAAGGAATTTTAAAAACAGAGGACTTTGTAACCACAAAATACTCTCCGAGATTTAAAAGGCCACGGAGCTCCAGATGAATAATCAGTTATCTTTCTTCTAACGGTAAGCACCGCGTTTAGAAACGTTTGTCTCATCTTCTGTCATTCTTTAAATGCTAACATAAGAATCTTAAACTCTCTTTCTCTCTCTTTTCTTAACTGTAAAAGTAATCCCAATATCTCTGTTACTACCCCCACAGTCACCATTAGCTCATCTCTGTGCCAAGATCTGACATGAGATGCTGTTAACATTTTGCATTCCTTGAGCAATCGGTTGAAGAGATTAATTTTTTTGCAGAAAGCTGATTGGCTCTCAAGTTGTCCTTCATGCCTTTAGGGACCGTTGAGTATGTGGATTTATCATGGCTCTTGTGATCTTGAAACACTAGGGCTTTTCTGCTAGTTTGTCCTGGTAATAAACAAAAAACTAAAAAATGAGTGTTTTCTGGGCATGACTGTTTTCTTCTAGTGTCCTTCCTTAACTAAAACTGTCTCGTTCCATGTGATATGGGTAATTTATTGAAATGTATTTTCTGTTTATTTTCATCTACTTACTTGAGCGATGAGGACCACCCAGCCCTGGGAGTTCTACTTTAGGATGGGATAAAAAGAGAGTATTTCCTGCCTGGGTCCTAGACTGGTACCACCTTGCAGGATGAACAGAGAAACTTCTTCTTCCTAATTCTGCTCCTCTAGTGAGTTTGGAGAGAGGCAACCCCACAAACTTCTTGGCTGTTCTATAGTTTGCAAAGTCCACAGCCCTGAGCGCAATCCCACAAACTTCTTGGCTGTTCTATAGTTTGCAAAGTCCACAGCCCTGAGCGTTGCCTGCTGTTTGTGGTTATAAATGACCTACAGACACCCCGCTGTTCAGAACCCACTTGCCATCGCCCCGCTGTTCAGAACCCGCTTGCCATTGCAAATCAGCTTAGCCACCCCATTAATGAATCCTTTCAAACACGGTGCAGGCACAATAATTAAAGCCTTTCCTTTTCCCCTTTACTGCAGAAAGTCCTCTGATTACAAGCTGACACCGACAGCAAGCCACCCAACTCCATCGCACACCGATTGGAGGTAAAGGAAGGGTGGAAATGGGCTTCTGGACAAAGCTTCCAGTATTGGGGGTGCCATTGTTCCTTGTCCTCGGCCTTGTTCCCGCTGCTGAGACGGAAAGACTCTCCACCCAGGACAGCGGCGGCACCTGGAGCCCTGGCCGCCTGGTGGAAGTACTACGAGCTCTGTCTGCTGGTGACCCCCCACCCCTGAACCATTCGCGAAGCCTCATCGAAACCTTGCTGGAGAAAACCGGCTGCCCACGGAGGACAAACAGAATGCAAGGAGGCTGCAGTCTGGTTAGTGCAATAGGATATGGGATCAGGTACCAGGGCGGGTTCAAAAAACAGTGATGGCTTCTCTAGCCCTTTACTTCAGTGAAGCAAACTGGAAATGCAGTTCCCACGGGGGCGGGGCGGTGCCATGTAATACGCCCACCGCTAGGGTACCTCCAGTCACTCAGCGTCCTCCGTCGAGCAATTCAAAACAGGGAGAATTTTCATTGACTAAAATGGCAATGTTTAGGGACGCCTTTCTGCAACCCTCCAGCATGTGGGGAGGTATCTAGTTGCAAGTGTGAACTTTCAGTTCTTTGTGTGTGTGTGTGTGTGGTTGCGGAGCACTTGTGCATCACTGGTTAGATGCTGTTTTCGGGAGCAGAATGACAGTGATAGGATATTTGTCTAGCATTGAATTTTTTTTAAGTACTTTATCCTGGTGTTTTCTAGTATGTTGCATGGTGGGTCGTTCATGAGTTGGATAATCATCCTCTTAAAAATGACACATCTGAGGAGCGCCTGCGTGGCACCTTCCGTTAAGCCTCCGTTTCCTGGTTTCAGCTCAGGTTGCAATCTCAGAGTCATAGGATCGAGTCCCGCGTCAGGCTCTGCGCTGAATGCGAATCTGCTTGAGGTTCTCTCTCCCTCTCCCTCTGTCCTTCCTGCTCGTGCTCTCTCTCTCTCAAATAAATAAATAAATCTTTGAAAAAGAATGACACATCTGGTCTGGGGGAGCTAAAATGAGGCCTGTGGCTGGTGGGCCCGACTCCCAGCTTTGCCCTGGTCTGCCCGGCGACTCTCAAACCCTGTCCACACCTCAGCATTGCCTGGGCAGCTTTCACCGAATACCACATTCCGGCTTCTTTCTCCCTCCATAGAAGAGATTTAACTTGCCTGGGATGGAATTTTTAAAAAATCCTCCGCATGGGCGCCTGGGTGGCTCAGTTGGTTAAGCGACTGCCTTCGGCTCAGGTCATGATCCTGGAGTCCCTGGATCGAGTCCCGCATCGGGCTCTCTGCTCGGCAGGGAGCCTGCTTCTCCCTCTGACCCTCCCCCCTCTCATGTGCTCTCTCTCTCTCTCTCT